GTGACCTTGCTCGGGTCCCAGGTGTACGGTTCCTAAAATGGCTGCCATATACACGTCCACTGATAGGAGACGCGGAAGGTATTAAACTGATCAGAACAATACTAAACACACCACAAATAAGGTTTCTCTGCTGTATGGCTCCTCAAATGATGCTTAAGATTAGAAGCGGCTGAAAAGCATTTCTCACACTCCGAACAAAAATATATTTTTTAACATTCTCTCCACTTTGAACGAAATGACGTTTGGGAAGAGATTAACATAATTAAACACAGGCAGTAAAAATACAGTTTTAGCCATACACTGTAACTTTAAAACTACACATCCATTTCCTTAGTACATGGCTTTGGAATCAGCACACTTAAAGCATATAAACATAACCAAAAATCAGCCAAATCCATCCAGAAGTTTAAAAGTTAGCTGGAGGGTCCATTTATGACGACACAAGCATTTTCCTGCCCAAAAAACAGTTCCATAGATTTGGGCTGTGAGGTCGGTCCTATTTCAGGCTGAAAAAGGCCAGTCCCATCGCCGAATGGGACTTAGTCTCTGCAGCTGAAATAATTTCCCATTTACTGAACCAAGTGGGAAATAGCAAGGCAGGCACAAGGGTTTGCACCAGGTCTGGGGACACAGGGGACACCGTCTTAAAGGGGCCGTGTCCCCAACAAGTCTGGGGACACGGCCTTAAAGGGGCAGTGTCCCAATCTTCCTGATGTCCCAAAAAGGTGTTTAAAGGGCCAGCACCAGTCACATAAAGAGTCCATAAGCCCCAATATGCCCACGACAGTCTTAAAGGGCCATACACACCAAATAAAAGTGCATACATTTTCACAATCTCCCAGGGGCCATAGTCATGCGGGAGGAGGCTGGCAAATAAGCTTCTCCACAACCCAGGGAAGCAGGGCAATTTGCCATTTAAAGGGCCCGTTACAAATAGCAGTTTGTAACAAGGTGTCAATCCATATCTGCCAAGTGACCCGATGTAGAGGGAACAGTCCCTATTCTGCTCTGTGTCAGTGTGTATCATGGTCTCTGAGGACAGGTGTCAATCCATATCTGCCAAGTGACCCTATGTAGGGGGACCAGTCTCTGTTCTGCTCTGTGTCCGTGTGCATCAGGGGCTCTGAGGACAGGTGTCAATCCATATGTCAAGGTGTCAATATGTCATATGTCAGGTGTCAATCCATATTCATTGTGATTTAGGAATGTTAGGTGATTTCTGCCCTTTATGGATTAAAACCAGACTCTGTATCAACTGTGTAATTTTCCATGGGAGTTTTGCCATGGATCCCCCTCCGGCATGCCACAGTCCAGGTGTTAGTCCCCTTGAAACAACTTTTCCATCCCTATCGTGGCCAGAAAGAGTCCCTGTGTGTTTTAAAATTCGCCTCCCCATTGAAGTCAATGGCGTTTCGGGCGGTTCGCCGGTTCGCGAACATTTGCGGAAGTTCGCGTTCGCCGTTCGCGAACCGAAAATTTCGGGTTCGCGACATCACTAGTGGTGACTAGTGCTATTAATGCAACACATTTAATAATGGTGAGGGTGGAAGGAAAGAATGTACAAGCTCTGATTGATTCAGGGAGTGAGGTTACCTTGATAAAAAGTGTTCTGCTCCAGCCAGGGAAATTAGATACCAGACAAGTGATTGATATTGTGTGTATACATGGTGACACCCACACATACCCCATGGCAGAGTTTGAGTTTGGCACCGAGGTAGGACAGGCTAAATGCTCTGTAGGGGTAGTGCCCTTGTTACCATATGATGTGGTATTAGGGAGGGAATTTCCCCATTTCTGCCACCTATGGGAAAAGTGCTCTGCTCATCCGAAAATGCGCTCTGAGGAGCTACCCGGGGTAGAGTGTATAGATAATATTTTTCCTTTTTCCGATATAGAATGTGAATTGGGTACCGAGCAAGAGACACACTTGGTGTGCCTGGGTAATGAGGTAGAACCTCCCCATACTGAAGACCCTATAGAAGAAGTGGAGTTTCAGGTTCTCAGAGTCCCCCCTGGTATCTTCCGAGCAGCCCAATGGGAAGATATGTCCTTGACAGCAGCAAGAGAGAATGTGCAAATAGTGGAGGTTACAAGGGTGGACCCTGACAAGCCCTTAAGCTTTCCTTATTTCATGGTGAAAAATAATCTGCTGTATCGAGTAGAGAAGAAAGGGGAAGAGGAGGTAGAACAGTTGTTAGTTCCCCAATCTCACCGAAACACTGTTTTAAAGCTAGCCCATAGCCATGTGTTAGGTGGGCATCTTGGTTTTGATAAAACGAGGGAACGAATTCTGACCCGATTCTATTGGCCCGGGGTATTTTCGGCAATAGAGAGGTTTTGTAAATCCTGCCCAGAATGCCAACTGAAAGCTCCGCATAAGGGCTTTCGTAGTCCGTTGGTACCCCTTCCATTCGAAAGAATAGCAATGGACCTGATATGGCCGTTGCCTAGATCCGCTAGAGGACATCAGTACATTTTAGTTGTTGTTGATTATGCAACACAGTATCCAGAGGCAGTACCTCTATGGAATGCCACCTCTAAAAGTGTTGCAAGGGAATTACTGATGATGTTTAGCAGGAGGGTATACCAAAGGAAATTCTCACAGATCAGGGAATCCCTCGTATGTCAAAAATCATGCGTGATTTGGGCAAATTGCTCAGAATCAAGCAACTGAAAACCTCAGTATACCATCCGCAAACTGATGAATTAGTGGAGAGGTTTAATAAAACTCTAAAGGCTATGCTGCTGAAGGTGATAGACAAGGATGGAAAAAACTTGGATTATCTCATACCCTACCTGATGTTTTCTATTAGAGAAGTCCCGCAAGCTTCCACAGGGTTTTCACCTTTCGAGTTAATGAATGGTAGGCATCCAAGAGGCATACTGAATGTTGCCAAGGAAACATGGGAACAAGAGCATACCCCCCATCATAGTCTTATAGAGCTTGTAGCTCAAATGCAAGAGCGAATCGAAGCTGTAATTCCCATAGTTAGGGAAAACGTGGAAAAGGCCCAGAGAGCCCAACAAGCAAGCTATAACCGGAACGCAAGGCTACGGGTATGCAAACCAGGTGACAGGGTTCTAGTTCTCATTCCCACGGTAGAACGCAAATTCTTAGCCAGGTGGCAAGGGCCATATGGAATCACTTAGTGTATCAGTGACGTAAACTATAAAGTAAGACAGCCAGGCAGATGGAAGTCAGAACAGACATATCATATAAATTTATTGAAGCCATGGGTGGAACAAGAGGTTTTCATCATGGCCAGAGATAAACCTACTCAAGCCACTTGTGAGCAGGGTCCGGAGGTGCATGTCGCTGATACTCTTGCCCCCCATCAGAAACAGGAAGTCAGGGGGTTTGTGTCTAAAAATAGGGATGTGTTTTCCCCAATACCAGGAAAAACACATATAATCAAGCATGATATCCTAACTGAACCTGGGAAGAAGATCAACCTGAGGCTAGACGTGAAGCGGTTAGTGCAGAGGTTAAAAAGATGCTTGAGTTGGGGGTGATTGAAGTGTCACAAAGTGACCCAATTGTGTTAGTGCCCACACCAAATGGGGAAATGCGTTTCTGTAATGATTTCCGTAAGCTAAATGATATCTCTAAGTTTGATGCCTACCTGATGCCTCGGGTGGATGAGCTAATAGAGCGATTAGGTAACGCCAGATATCTGAGCACCTTGGACCTCACCAAGGGATACTGGCAGGTACCCCTGACAGAGAAAGCAAAAGAGAAAACCACGTTTTCTACCCCTGATGGGTTGTTCCAATGTAAAGTACTGACATTTGGGTTGCATGGTGCCCCAGCCACGTTTCAGCGTATGATGGATAAGATACTTCACCCTCACAGGGAGTATGCATACCTGGATGATGTGGTGATTCAAAGTGCAGACTGGGAAACCCACTTGATGAAGGTTCAGGCAGTTGTGGATAGTATAAGGGCTGCTGGTTTGACAGCTAACCCTGCTAAGTGTTCTTTAGGGCTAGAAGAGGCAAAATATCTAGGTTACACTATCGGGCGGGGGCTCCTTGAAACGACAAGAGAGCAAGGTAGCGGCAATCACCAGTTGGCCACGTCCTGTAACTAAAAAGCAAGTCAGGGCTTTTTTAGGCTTAACCGGCTACTATCGCAGGTTCATCCCTGGGTATGCTACCATTGCCAACCCATTGACTGAACTTACTAAGGCAAAAGGCCCTGTTATGGTTAAGTGGACCCCGGAAGCGGAGCATGCCTTTCAAGTCTTGAAGGGAGCCTTGTGTGCTGACCCTGTTTTGGTGGCTCTGGATTTCACTAAACCATTTGTGGTACAGACCGATGCATCTGATGTGGGCCTTGGCGCGGTTCTTTCCCAGGTACATGAAGGAGAGGAACATCCTGTCATGTATCTGAGCCGGAACATGAATCCCCATGAACAGAGGTACTCCGTAGTGGAAAAGGAATGCCTGGCAATAAAATGGGCATTAGAATCCCTGAGATATTACTTACTGGGGAGACATTTTACACTGATCATGGACCATGCTCCTTTAACATGGATAAGGCAAAACAAAGAAAAAAATGCCAGGGTGACTAGATGGTTCCTAAGTCTTCAGCCTTACCAGTTTACTATTACTCACAGGGCCGGAACTGCCCAAGGTAATGCAGATGGCCTCTCCCGAGTTCACTGTCTATGGTCCCAGGCCACACGCCCCGATGGGTCTGAGCTGGGGAGGGGAATATGTGATAAGGTAAATGTGGTGGTCTGTGAGGGAGTTTATATTTTGACTGAATTGTTCAGAGAGGCATATGATTTTTAACCCAAGGGGGAGTGTGTGTTTCTGTGTGTATATAACCGAAATTAATATTTAGTTATGGGCCCCTGGGGTGGAGCATTTGGAGAGCAGGGTGGGCCAGTGCTCCACTCCGCAGATTAGCGGTTTTCTTGGGAGTCATAGATCCAGGCCAGGGTTTTTGGACTGTCTCCAACCCACTGCTCAGCTGCAGGTAATCAGCTGCAGCAGTGGGAATAAACCCCTCCCTGCTAGGCAGGTAAGGGGAGAATGTTTGTTTTCTCTCTTGAAGAGCTGGAAGCAGCAGGCTGACTAAACACTGGAGTGCTGAGAGCTGACAAAGACACTAGGTTGGTGAAATCAATATTATTTTGTTATAGTTTAACCCCTGAGAGATAGGGAATCTGATGTTAGTTAGTGCTCAGACGAGCTAGGTTTTTTTTTATAGGGATTTTGTTACATTATTGTTTTTTTTTCCATTTACTGCTGTCTCCTGTGTGGATTTACAAATAAAGTGCTTGGAATTAAGTTACTTTTAAAGACTGTGCATGTTTGTACCCAAAAGGACCGTGCTAACTGCAGACAAGGATCACAGTGGGTTCTACCGATTCGCCAAACTATGCGATACTGCTGCGGGTTTTGATTGAGGTGTTCGGGGTCCCGTTGGCACACTGCAAGACGGTGGGCCTGGTCACCTGTCTCCACGTTCTGGGCATTGAGATTGACTCTTTGGCGGGGGAATGTCGCTTGCCTCGGGATAAGATTCAAGGCTTCCGGCGTAAGGTGGCCTTGGCCAGGGGGGCGGCGCACAGTTCAGCTGCACTGCCTGCAGTCTCTCCTGGGTAAGCAGAATTTTGCCTGTGGGATCCTGCCCGTGGGGCTGGTCTTTTACCGGCGATGGCCAAGGGGTCTCCGGGCTCGCCATTTCATTCGGCTCACTCGGCCGCTGCAGGAGGAATTTTTGGCGGTTTGGGACTCCTTCTTGACTGCATCCAATGGCTGGTCCTACGGGTTGAAAGGCCGGCGGTTTCTAACGCCGACCTCCACCTCTTTCCGGATGCGGCTGGCTCGGTGGGGTTTGGGGGCATTTTGGGTGTGCTGCCGTGTGGCCAAATAGTGGGCGTGTCTCTGGGCTCACATAGAATCTGGCCTTTTTTGGAGCTTTTCCCCATTTTGGTGGCGGTGGAGGTCTGGGGGGGTCACGTTTTTCAGGATTGAAGGGTGTTTTCACTGCGACAATTTGGGGGTTGTGCAGGCCATTAATCGGCTGCCGGCCTCCTCCCCTTCAGTGGTTCGCTTGCTTAGCCGGTTGGTACTTCGACATTTGTGTCTCAAGGTGTATTGTAGGGCAGAGCATATACCGGGAGTTTACAATGTGATGGTGGATGCTCTCGTACTCTGGGGTCAGAGTTTCGGGCGGTCGCCCCACAGACGGATCTGGTGGGGACACCTTCCCCGGCAGACATCTGGTCGCTCGGTAAGGCAGAGTGATGGAATGGGTCCGTGGATTGGTTTCCAAGGTCATCTGGACGCTATGCTCCTGACAAGACTGGGTGGGGTCCCCCCTCTGGTCTGGTAACCTATTTCGAGACCTGTCTCTTTGCATTTGCCTATTCCCTGGAATTCGTTGGGGCCATGTGCATTGGGGAATTGGTGCTTCATTGTAGGCCAGGCGGTGGTTGGATATTGTTTGCCACCATTCGGCGCCCTGCGGATCATATCACTATAAATATTTGACAATCACGGTCGGATTTTTTTGGGAAGGGTATGGGGGGTCGGCTGTCATAATTTTTCCTTTCAGGTGAACTGTGGGCTGCGCCCGGTATGCACGGGCCCTCTTGTGGTAATGCGGAAGGGATCTTTTCTTTCCCATTCCCAATTCTTTGGGTTTTTCGCTCGCATCTGATGGTTCTGGGAATTGACAACAAGGAATATTGTGGCATTCCTTTCAGTCTAGCACTGCCTAGGAGGCTGTTAGGATGGGTATGTCAGCGCACATGGCGCAGTGATCCAGGAGCGGGTATGGTGAGATGGCTCAGGGAAGTAATGCTGGTTTCGTAGAATTTGTTTAATCCCTGGGTGGTTGCGGGTTCAATTCTCAGCGGCGGTGGCTCAAACATTCATTCCCTTGAGGTAGATAAATGCGTACTGGTTCTTTAGGTACAAGTAACAATTCCCAGGGTGCAATTGGAAAAAGAAAATATCTGGATGTATTGTTCCTGGTAATACTCCCGGGTGGCATGCGGGTGTCCGTCCAGGAGGTAAGCTATTGGGTTGTGCGCCTACTGAAGTGGAGGTTCGTTTGTTTGGTGCCGGAGGTGTGGAATGGCTTCGGCTCCTCTCAGAACATGTTTTTCCACTGCCCCACTGGTTCCTAAGGTTTGGGTTATCCACCTGGGGGGCATTGAGCTTGGGACAATACCAATGGTATTTGGCGTCTGCCCCTAAGAGGGTATTGGTGCGTGCGTGCGTTAGTTGTTTCGTGATGCGTAGTGTTGGGTTCACTTTATGACACTGTGTTAAGTTATATATGTTCAGTTATGGTAATTTATGTTTAACGTTTTGCTTCCTGAAAAGAAGAGAGATTATTAAAAGAAATTCTGGATGTTTTATACAGTATTTATCATATGTTATAACTAAGGCAGTTCCAAAAAGAAAAAGGTATAAATAAAAAAAATTAAAAACCCATTGGTCAGAGGTCATTTCCCGTATCTTTTGGCAGCGTGCCCATGGTGTGCTGCCATATGACACAATAATTGGAGGGTCTCTAGGTGTGTTTTTGAGTGTAAGGGGATTTTTGTTCGCCACGGGGTGTTTCGCACACACGGCAGCCACAGAGTTTATGGGTATGGAGGTCGGGCTCGACCTTTTTCGTCTTGCCATACAGGTAGTGGTGGAACAGGCCTTGGTTGGTTGTGGTGGGGCTCCCCGCTGATTTTAGGTGTAAAACAGCGGGGTTTGTGGCAGTGAGCGTGCCCTTGGAGAGCAGATGGAATGTCAAGAGATGGTCAAGGTGGGTCTCAACGTCCCCTGCTCTGTAAGGTAAACTTTCAAGTTACTGAATAGGACGTGCCCACCGAGCAAAGAGCCAGCTGGTGGTAGAGCATTTAATGATGGGAATTTTGGTTTGGACGAGGAGGGAGGCAAGACACCACTAGGTAAAGTTTTGGTGCATAGGCACCTGGTTATATTCGTTGGCAAGGACGGTTATTTAAGTTTGAGGCTGTAGGGCAATAAGTGTTAATTTATATGTTAATTATGGTATGCATATATATTTATGTGTTTGTTTATATTTGAATTAAAGGAAAAGAATAAAGTTTGGATGTGTCCTACAGTTGTGAGTTTTAATAAATGCTGTGGCCTGTTTTCATCCAATATGCATTGTCTGTCATTATTAGGGGGATAAGTGGGGTAGTCTCTTTACTTTTAGTCGCACCACATTCCCCGCTACGTACATACAAGGTCCTGGGGAGTCAGCACAGCTAAACGAACAAGGGCACATGTATGAGTGTGGGGATGGTGCTAGTGATTGGCTGTATGTATTTAGGGGAGTGGTTATGGGTTTGTAGGGGGGCAGGGATCATCTTACCTCAGTGCCTTTTGGGATTCTGGCCAGCAAACTACTTCCCTCCCACCCACCCTAATTTTATGTTTGTTCTTTCACAGCTGGCGGTGAGCGTGTCCTTGCCAACAGGGTTGGAGAGCAGATGGAATGTCAAGAGATGGTCAAGGTGGGTCTCAACCTCCCCTGCTCTGTAAGGTAAACTTTCAAGTTACCGAATAGGACGTGCCCACCGAGCAAAGAGCCGGCTGGTGGTAGAGCATTTAAGATGATGGGAATTTTGGTTTGGACGAGGGGGGAGGCAAGACACCACTGGGTAAAGTTTTGGTGCATAGGCACCTGGTTATGTTCGTTGGCAAGGACGGTTATTTAAGTTTGAGGCTGTAGGGCAATAAGTGTTAATTTATATGTTAATTATGGTATGCATATATATTTATGTGTTTAAAGTACGGATGTGTCCTACAGTTGTAAGTTTTAATAAATGCTGTGGCCTGTTTTCATCCAATATTCGTTGTCTGTCGTTATTAGGGGGCTAAGTGGGGTAGTCTCTTTACTTTTAGTCGCACCACATTCCCCGCTATGTACATACATGGGGGCAAGTGTGACAGAGTGATGGAGAATTAATGTGACAGGATTAGGGGGGGTAAGTGTGACAGTCAGGGCCGGACTGGAGATACGAAGCAGCCCTGGAAAAAAATCTATGCCAGCCCCATAAGTCATTGTGCTATGTAGGGTGTTTTATATTTATATTTATATTTATATATATATATATATATATATATATATATATATATATATATCCAAAAAATTACCGGCACTCAAGGTTTTTTCAATCCAGACAATATCTCTTTAATCCAAATCCACCATCAACGTTTCAGCTCCTCATGGAGCTTTCATCATGTCCTGATGAAAGCTCCATGAGGAGCTGAAACGTTGATGGTGGATTTGGATTAAAAAGATATTGTCTGGATTGAAAAAACCTTGAGTGCCGGTAATTTTTTGGATTTATCAATTTTGCAACCAGAGCACCAGGTACTAACAGTTTTTTGGGTTGGAGTGCAGGAATTATTGTTGTTATTGAAATAGTTGGCTGCACTCTCGGATTTCCTTAAAATGTAACTTTTATTGAAATATTTAAGAGAAGATCAATGTTTCAGTCCCTCTTGTGGACTTGCATCAGGATCATGACGAAAGTCCACAAGAGGGACTGAAACATTGATCTTTTCTAAAATATTTCAATAAATGTTACGTTTTAAGGAAATCTAGGAGTGCAGCCAACTATCTCAATTGCCTGGATACTGGAGCCCTGGTGATGCAACAGTGTGTGTGTGTGTGTGTGTGTGTGTATATATATATATATATATATATATAATTATACATTTCTTATTCTAATTCAAAATATTAGTTATTTTAGGGTAATTAAATTATACAGTAAAGCAATCTTACTGATGCACACAAATAGGCTCATTGACAGACAATCTCAATGACACACACAGACAAGGTTACTGGCACACACACAAATTTAGTACAGACAAACTCTGATACACATACAAGCTTACTACAGACAAGCTCACTGTCACACACACACACGCTCACTACAGACAAGCTCACTGATGCGCACACACCCTACCTACAGACAAGCCCATTGACACACTCATGCTTACTACAGACAAGCTCACTGTACACACATGCTCACCACAGACAGGCTCCGACACACCCATGCTCCTTACAGACAAGCTCACTAATACACACACATATGATCCTACAGACAAGCTCACTGACACACATACAAGCTCACTCACTAGCAGGCACACACACACACAAAC